ACAGCTCCTTCAGTAGTAACCAGATATCTTTCTTCCGTCAACCATTTCTTCATTTGTCTATTTATTTGACTCATTCATTCATTTATTTGAATTTATTTATGCCTATGTTCGTCACACGTTTTCTGCAAGACGAATGTGACTTTTGTCGGAATGATGTGACCCTCTTATGAGTGCAGGTTTAACCTATAAGATGGCAACAATGACTAAAAATTATCCGTTTTGATTTGATGTCGTTTTACGTAGAAACAATACTCAATTGTTGTCACAAACATAACAACATCCACCCCCTAGATATTTAAATTCAAATTACGAATTTCGACAATGTGTTTCGAGCTCATAAATAAAGTTATTGAATTCCGAGGAATTAATGACTGCAGATATTTCTTTAAAATTAGGGTCTTTTATAACAAAATCAAAAGCGGATTAAATTACGCGACTGACCTTCAAAGCTCCTTGCTTCTCCTCACAAAATCACACTTCTTCACATCACTAATAAGCGACGTTTTCCGCAGTTGAAGCCAAAGTCATTGAAGTGTACAAACCCGATGATGAACAGTCTTTACTGATCGACATCTGTAAATCAGAAAGAAAGGTTACTGACTGGCAATAAATAGAACAACAGATCGGAGCTCAGACAGAAGAATAGGTCTGAGGTACCTGGCCCTGTTTCTGGTTCCACTTGATCCACCAACACCGCAGACAGTTACATGTTGATCAACAAGAGTTATCCATTCCTTTCGAGGTAAGGTTGGTTCTACAGCAAAGGCTCAGTTGAACTGATGGAGCAAAATAAATACGTACCGATAAAAGCAGAAAGACATAACAGTTTCGAGTAACTGCGTGTATTTGTCAAACACTTCCTTTGCTGTTTCGCGTCTCTCATTGCTCGTAATATTACTTTGTTCTAAACACAAATCTGTTGTACAGTCAGGTAGTCAACAGGACATGTGAAGTTTAAGAGTTTTGTCATTAAGCCAATTACGCTGCACAGAATTAACAATTTAAAAAAAAATATATTTTGGCTATTAAAGAAATATATAAAACTGATAAATCTTCGCATCTATAGCTTTTCATGTTCCCACGTTTAATTATAAGCCTTTTTAAAGGGATTTGTTAAATTTCGATTTGAATGTAGTAGATGAGATGGTGTCAGCCACGGTGGTCTAGCGGTCAGAACGCTGGCCTTGTAATCCTGGGGTCTCGGGTTCGATTCTCGGCGGTGCCCGAATTTATAACTTGTGTTGGGCAAGGCCGTAGTCTAGGCAACACGGAGTTTTCCTCCGTGGCATCCCAACAATTACTCCATTCACACACAGAAGAAGGCAATGGCAAACCACTTCTGGATCATCTGCCAAGAACGTATATGAACAGGTCCCAGTCCGAGAAAAGGATAGAAGGATCCTGTTCATATGGACCTGTCGTCAGACAGAACACTAAATAAATAAATAAGATGAGATGGTGGGCCGACAGGAATCGATATGAAATTCATCAAACGACTTTTATTGAAGTTCCCCGTAACCAAATGACGTAGAAATCTTGACTGATTTTTAGCGAATGGAGAGAAGAGGAATCATTTTCTGAATATTTGGTACAAATACAAGTAATTCTGGGAAGTAATTGCTAATTTATTTTAAGGGTCCCATTTGTAAGCAGGAGGCATAAAAATTATAATATTAAAAGTTTCACACCAGAAGAATGATAGTAATTTGAACAGCCCAAAATATACTTTCAGACTTAACTTGTAGATATATTCATGATCTACCTACATTTACAGCTTACATACATGCATACATCGACCTACTTAAATTCATAGTCATACATGCAGACGTCTTCGACCGAAAATGTTACCACAGAATTAGCTACGTCTCTGAAATATTTTGGGAACAGCAATGGAACAACATAGACGTGCATGCTAAACTGTTCATTTAAAGTTTTAATTTATCACAAACTTGTACTGCACCTGAGTCTCCTTCATAATACTCCTCTCAGCTAGGCAAATACACAGCATCGGGGCTGCAATACGATTAGTTAAATCCACTTGTTATGTGACACTGTTATACGTTTAATTGGCTGCAATTAGAGTCGTGTGTTTTGTTACAGGAGGAACGTAGGACGAGCTGTGTTCCATAGTAGCAATTTTGTAATCAGCGACACAACAACCAACCGACCAAATTCCTTTGGTAATGACCAATGATGCCACAGTAATAAAATTATTGCCGACTCCTGCTGTACATAATTTAAATTCCTCTTCCATGGATCCCCTTCGTCTATCTCGTACTCTGTGCTCCATTTTGTCTTCGATTGGTGGATCTGTAATTCCATGCGATATTCCGTCACAATTATTCGCTAATTTCACATATAAAATCGACTTCCGCCCGACAGCGTTTCTCTTTTGTTTAATTGTGTATATCGTGCTAAAGGTCCTGAACTGTTTATTCCTTCTGTTTCTGTTTTCGAATGCACCTTGGCCCTGTAACCAATTTTTTTAAATTTTTTCAGATAATTATTTTGCCGAAGTGTTTAAATTGTTACATAATTTTTTGCTGAATTATCTGGAATCTACACTGCGCTGGCATCTATCGGCAGATGGCGTAAAACTACTACGAAGAGACCCTGCATCACAACCACTGCCAAGAGCTCAGACGGTAAAGACGGTAATCACTATCCCACATCAATCACACTTTGGAATGCAAACACAACAGAATTGGAGGATCCGTGTATTCATGTCATGGTAGTCACCACGTTTCTGCAATCATTTTTGCTATCTCCAAGGGATTCACACATTACATTAACTACATACCAAGTTCTTATATATGGTATATTGTCTGTCCTCCACTTATGAAGAGTGGAATTTTTCTCATCAACTGTGATAGAATCCATCATACATCACAACATACGCTGTCCCAGAAATCAGACAAGTTACAACATACTTTTCGAAAGTTCTGAGAAAATGACATGTAAAAATAAGTCAACAGATTTAAAATTTAGCAATGAAAAACTGCACTGAATTTTATTAGTACGATATTTTTACAAATAAGGATTTATAAGAGAGATTTTAGTTTCTCACAGCAACAAATATGAAGATGGCTAGCTGTCTTCTTGGTGGGCTGGGTAATCTGGTAGAAGTACAGGGTATACACAAAAGAATGGTGCGGTTTCAAAAGTTGGAAAGCTGGTTGTTACCCCAACTGAATACCAATTATGATGATTACATTCTACAACTGGACGGAGCTCCCCCCACAATTTTCACAGGAATGTACGAGTGCTTCTCAATCGTGTTTTTCCACAGCGCTGGATCGGACGTGCTGCTGCAAATGGAGACAACAACCTTCTTCCTTGGCCACCCCGTTCACCAGATCTTACACGGTACAATTTCTTTCTTTGGGGGTTCGTTAAAGACAGCGTTTATGTACCACCATTGCCCACGTCCATCCATGAACTTCGTGATCGGATAACGCCTGCACTGCAGGCCATTACAGAAGACATGCTACACCGGGTCTGGGATGAGTCTGATTACCGTGTGGATGTGTGCACACATTGAAGGATTGTAATTAATGCATGAGAAACTTGGACAGTTACCGCCGCTGACGGTGTATGTTGTGCCCGTGTAAGGTGAGAAATAAATTTTGTATTAACTTTTGAAACCGCACCATTCTTTTGTGTATACCCTGTATACTGACGTTTCAGATGTGCTTGCTGCCTCCATCATCAGAAACCACAACACCCTGATGATGGAGCTGCAAGCACCTCTGAAACATCAATAAACTTTCAACAGACTTAGAAGACAGTGAACTTTAAGTGTTACAGTACAATTATGTGGAATAATGACAGCAATCAGCTGGAACACTTATCGTTGAGGTTCCTGAGGACTGCAGAAGCTGGTCCCTGGAGAACTTTCCTAGAAAGACGCATAAGGCCTGAGACAGGATCCCGTCCAAAATATTTCACCTGAATCTCATCTCCAACTTCCAGGCCCAATGCACTGGGATGATTTACCTGTAATAATTTACCACACATTGACGCAATGTTTGTATAACAATTTGTAGCCATATTTTTGTTTAATATTTTAAGATTGTAACAGTTTTCTCTTCATTAAGCTGTTACTACATACACATTTCTTCAATGTACATTAAATCTTTTCTGTCGGATTCATGACTTCATCCCTTTTACAACTTCAATTTTTACTGCAGTTGCTTAAAAAGAAGTTAAATTGTACACTATATGCTCCTTTCTGATCCACTTAGCTATAACTTTTCAATTTGGAAACTGGGTAGAATTACTTATGTTTTCTTATAAAGGTATTTTCAAAACTCTGGGGTATAAAAAGAAATATATAAATTTACACAGACCAACTACTTCTCAGCTGTTTCTTCTTATCTTTTACACAGTAAGCCTAGAATAAAAGAAGAGCAACATAAAATATTTTTTAACTTACCTTTCGTTGATCTAGTTGGGAATTGTGCAGTAATGCTGGGTTCATTGTAGGATACAATGTGACCATAACACCTATGTCTCGTACTTCAGCAATCTTAGCTGTATAAATAGCACCAAATTCTAATTCTGGCTCTCTTTCAGTTATGAGAAACTGATCAATCAATTCCTTCGCTTCATTCATAGCTGTTTGGTTAGGAGCAAAAATGGAGAACATGGAATCTTCTATTTGGGTAACCTGATGAAAAAAGAATACTGTCTCATAGGTGCAGTTAAAAATTACAAAGACAATTTTTATAATTATTAATAGCACATATCACATAGTTAAATGCAATAAATGGTGTGTAGATTGCTTTAACTTAGAATCATAATAGTACTCCACAGATTCTTAACTTCATAAGCAATGAAAAAGTATATAAATAAGATTTATTCTGCAAATACATGACAGAGTCCCTATTGAAAACTTCATCATGGTTTTCCTGATGTAACATTACTGCATTGTTAATAAAGGCTCTCCGCGTGCGTACTTGTTCTGCGATGGTACAGCCTATACAATAAAAGAGTGTGCTGTCTTATGGGCTACTATAAAACGTCTTTTACGCTAAGTGCGATCACTGCATTAGTTGTAGGTCTTCGTACCTTTACATATCACTAGTGACTGAAGATGCCAGTTACAGAAATTAATTTGGACAATAAGTTCATGTAAGACTGAATTCACTGACTCAGGTTTACAATAGAATAAGAAAGACCTGTTTAAAAACGTGACAGCAGATTGACTGTGTAACACTGACGTCACATGAGTAAGTGACTTAAATACCGTCTATGTAATTTAAACAGTTTCCAGAACTAACAACTGATTTGACAGCTGCCTTCCAAACACAAACAAAATTGTAGCCATCTTAAAGTTATAAAATTTCAGTAAATTTGAAGAAATAAAATTACATGACATGTTTTAAATGCATCATAAGTTTGGATGTTCTTTTTGAAGTCTGCAGCACTCCTCGTTAATGTCGTACTTTCAACCTGATTAACAACTTAGCAGACTTAACAGAAAAATGAAATGCAATGAAGATTTTTTAAAAGGAACTTTATGTCTTGTATTTAAGGTATTTAAATTAAAATAAATAACACTATAGCCAAGCTCACACTAAAATCTGTATGAAATAACAATGACTCTGGCAGCAGACACCTTTGTTCATACTTGAAATATTTTATAGAAAAGACCCATAACTAACTGAAGCAAACTCCAAAGTAGAATTAAAATCTGTAATCTAAATACAAATGTACAAAATTATACTGTTCAGAAACAGCCAAGTACCTGAACACCAGTTTCAACCATCAGACGTTTCAAGTTGCTACCACCAAGTCCCAAAAATTTTGCACGCTTCTGTGGAGGAACTTCTACTTTTTCAGATATTGGCCAATTTTCTTTTTTCTGTTTCCTGAAAATAAAATAATAAAGTCATCTAGAAACAAAATATCTCAAAAATTAAAATCCTTCAGCATACTGAAAAAATTTCTGCAACAGGCACATGATGGAATTATTACAATGGGACAAGGCTCAGTTATAATTTATCATACCAATTAAAATGTTCCGAGGATTAAAATAATAAACAAAGGCTCTCAATATTTTCTGATTCAAGAACAAATTACCCATAAATTATGTTTCAATATCTGTACATTTCATCTCCTTGTTCACTAAAAATGTGATAAATAATTTTGTAATAGATGAATGCATCATTAAACACACATCTGGTGCATGTAACAAACAAGAGAAAATAAATACAAAGCAATAATAGTGTTACAACAAAAATATCAGTGACTTTTAATGTAAATACAACAAATTAAATTGTCTAGAAATAATCAAATTATACCTTCACAACATTAAACTTATTTCTTACCTTGTCCTGTTGAGAGTTTCATTCATGATGTCAATGATTTTTGATTTTGCATCTGTTGCTTCCTGAATAGCCTCCATGACCACTCTCAGTGGAAGTCCTGGAATCTTGATATCAGCTTGCAGAGCTGTGATGCCCTTCTTTGTACCAGCTAACTTGAAGTCCATGTCACCCATGTAGTCTTCAATACCCTACAGCATAATGTACCATCCTTTTTAGTTGGTTAACTCTTTGTGGTCCATGTTGAAACGTATTCAACATTCTAAAATTTCAATTCTTGAAGAAAACTAGATTGACATGTTTTTGGGATTTCTTTACTTAATTTTGGTGTCAGGCTCTTGTGAAAATAGCAATAAAACTTCAGGTTCAATAAAAGCATCATATTAGCTTCTCAGGAAGGACTCTCCTCCACAGAGATAGTTATAACAAAAAGAAGGTTTAGGGTACAACTCTTGTTAGCTTCTAAATCACTTTCATGCTTACAAGCTCCAATCATAAATAATACAAATATCGTAGCCTTGCAAAACTCTGAGATGAGAGTGACATGAATGCTACTCAATGTAGGACAGTGACTGTGAAGTTATAGATATTTCAGAAATCTACATATTTTTTATGGTTATTTTGATGTACAATGTAAAATTAAAATTTGGTGGGTGCATGTATTTCAAGTTAAATGTTATAGCACAAAGTCAACAATTAAGCAGCAAACGTGTATAATTATATACGAACCAGGATGTCTGTAAGAAGCTTGTAGTCTTCCATATGCTTGGTATCATTGTGTGCATAACGACTAATGAGGCCAATTGCAACGCCAGCTGCTGGACTAGATATGGGAACCCCTGCATCCATCAGTGCCAGACTGCCTCCACATACAGTCGCCATTGAAGATGATCCTAATACAACGGACAACAATCAGGCAGCCATCAGTGTAATAATTAAGATAAAAGAACATCAACTGACAGTATACAATCTGAACTATTGGCAGCATCATTAAATAACCTACATACACATTTCAATTAAATATATCTGTATTTATATAAACACAACGGGGTTCTGCAATACAAAATTAAGAGACCAGCATTTGCACTCATGTAAAGCAAGTATAATTAAAATTTTGCTTAAAAATTACCTACCATTGGATTCCAGCACTTCAGATGTAAGCCGAATGGTGAATGGGAAGTCACTGGATACAACAGGTCGCAAACCTTTTTCTGCCAGGGCTCCATGCCCAAGTTCTCTTCTGCCTACAGGACCAATACGACCTACTTCCTTTGTAGCATACGGTGGAAATTCATAATGCAGAAAGAAATTTTTCTCTTTCAGTCCACTAAAAACAAAGACATCTGACATTATTAAACTACACCCAAAAATATTTTCTCCTAGTTCTGTACTTTATTCTTGAAAAAAATATTATAATTATATTTAGTGAATGATTATCATTGGTTTACTCTGATTACTGTAGGATATCTGGCCATTAAGGTAATGTTACATACTCTAACTGCTATGAAATCTCACTAGATTAAATTAAAAATAATTAACTTGTTTGGCAACAGAATATAGTACAACCATAATGTTTGTAAAAACTTCCCTTAAGTCAAATAGCAAATAATATGATCTTCTATCATTAAGTTTTTCATCCAGAATTTTAATGCCCTTCTAGATTCCCTATGCATGGTCTGTACTGACGTCCTTTACTTATTCAGGTTAACATTACAAACTATAAAGCTAATTATTATGTTATTTTATTTAACTTAGTTAATACATCTCAGATCAGTTAAATTCCCTCAGTATCTTGAATTTAACCTTTGTTCTTTTCTCAAATCAATGTACCAAGTTCATACCAATACAAAACAACAAACACAATTGTACAATTTGAGGTTATCACAGTGGTGAGTATAAAGATCATCTTCAATTGGCAAATAAATTATATATATTTTTTTAAATATAAAATACTGTAGTTGGACAATAAACGCAATATTACAGTTTCACGGTTATACATTTCATCTGTTCCCATTCTCTCCTCGTGTAATCCGTACCTTGTAAGCATAGTAACAGGATCCATCTTCATAGCAGACTCTGGTGAATCCAGAGCGACGGTACAAAATACTTGAGTCTGACCTCTCTGAAAAAGAGATGATCCATGCAACGGTTTGTACAGATCTACCTGACAGGAAATTTTCCGAAGTTCTTCCATGCTACGACCATCACATCTGCATAATATATGAGAAGCATAAAATAAATTAGAATATAAAAATATAAGGGCATACTTAATGTGTTACAAACTTACTAACACAAAAAATGCTGCTGGCAAAATTCAATCAACATTTTAATCTTTTGATTTCCATCCATCATAGTTCCTATTTAATTCACTGAAACAGCTTTTGTTAAGATGCCTAACATGAAAGATTCCTACAGAACAACCACTTACTAATAACCTTTGACAAATAAATTTATTATAAACTAAGACAATAAAAGAAGAAAGAAGCATTTTCTATGATTCATAGAATCAGAACAGCTTTCTACCATCAATATATAAAGAAAAATGGGTGGTTTCCTAACAAGCGAAAATCTTCATAAAAACTCTTCTGTATTTCGGACAGTCCTACTGTTGTAAAAATCTAGTCTAACACAAGTCATTAGCTGATTTTATTGTTGTGAATTATATGCAAACTATATGATAAAACTAATAACTAACACATATCACAGCTCAGTTGTCATGGTAAATAAATTGTTTAAATGATCATCTTACCGTATATTGTCTTCAAACACCAAAGATCTGAAAGTCTCTTTGCTAACACGATTAAAGCATTCAGTCACGATGTTTACATCAACAGCCTCATCAAAGCTATGTTTAAGTTTATCAACAACATCAGTTCTCACAGCAGACACTGCCATATCTCTTGACAGTTTATCATGTGCGTGATCCCGGAATATTTCTCTTAACCGGATTTCACTGAAACTCCTTACTGCTTCCATAACAGCTGCACTCGGTATTAGCAGAGGTTCAAATTCACGCTTTGCTTTACCATAATGTTTCTGGAGCTGCTGTATAGCTTGTATAATATTCTGACACTCTTTTACACCGGTTTTGATTGCTTTCAAGAAATCCTGTTGCAAAATATTATCTGCTGCAGCTTCTAACATCACAACGAGGTTGTGACGCGTAGCACTTACAACTAAATTCAAAATACTTTCTGACTGTTCTCTTCTTGTTGGGTTTATTACAACTTCATTGTTGCAAAAGCCAACTCTGACTGCTCCAACTGGCCCATTCCAAGGTATGTCAGATAAAGTCAGGGCTGCTGATGCTGCATTGATACTAATAACATCTGGATCATTCACTCCATCAACAGCAAGAAGATTACACATAACTTGGGTCTCACAATTATATCCATCAGGAAACAGCGGCCTTAGCGACCTGTCGATTAGCCTGCTTGTTAGAATCTCTTTCTCTGTAGGTCCCAGTTCTCTTCTCAAGAAGTTTGTAGGTATCCTTCCGGCTGCAGCTGCTTTTTGCCTGTAATCTACTACCAGTGGAATAAATGAGGATGGTGAAGGTTTTGTTTTGCTTACAGTTGTTACCATAACAGATGTATCACCAACCTCTGCAACAGCACACCCATCAGCAAATCTGGCATACTTGCCAGTAGATAGTGACAAAATCTTCCTGCAATGAAACATGAAATACATAAAGGCACTACGCATGGAAGTTTAATTTACTTCGAAAACACAGGAGTGGTCTTTAAAATCAATATTATATGATCAAGGACGCAGAAACGTACTGTAAATGAAGATACATGACTGATAACGCCTCAAACACGTCACAAAACTTAAGACATGGAAAGTTAGGTTATAAATAAAATTACCCATTCGAAAATGGCACTTCCACTTGAGGAATTCTCTTGTTACTATCACTGAATCTTTTCACCTGTCTTAAGTTTCCAGTTATGTATTTTAATAAATATTCATTAAAGAGTGAAGTGGTATTTTCAGCAAAACTACAACCTCTCCAAAGTTTTAACCTATACGGAGCAGCCATAATGGAACCGGTACTACAGATTATGTTGGTATTACGTGTGCACTAATACGAAGATTGCTGTCTGGGTTGTACTGACGTAGTTTGGTAGAATATGGTTTCATAGGTCCTTGATTCTTCCATCATTAGGGCGACTAAAAGGTTGTCAACCGGTCAGACGGTTAAGGAGGAAGGGGTAAAAATAATAGAGAAAAATACCGGGTTGGAAAGAAACGGGCGTGGGGCATAGTAGGAAAACTAAGAATAGTCATGGTGCGTATGAAGTTTCGTTATCCCACTGTATTTGTTCTATTTTATCTTGGAACGGTTGTTTTATAGATATCAGACAGACCAAAGTGAACGTTGTACTTTAGATCTATTAGTAATATGCATCCAAATCCATATAAGAGGAAAATTATGCCTAAAATTTGTAATAACTTTCAAGAAAGGCGTTCATACTCATAACATGACAAATTATGTTTTACCTAGGGATTGCAGAATACTGTATGCAGCCTGTGAAACATGAGCAACACAGGAGAGAAGCAGAGCGCTTGTGGCTTATACAAGCTGCAGTACAACAGAACTGACTATTTTACAAACAGACTTGTTTTTATTTCATGTCCCATAAGCAATTTACTTGGGTGCTCAAGGGCTAGAATGATACCCCCCTTAATACCTCACATACTGGGTAATACCATAGATACCCATTTAATTGCTTGAATTTGTCATAGCATATCTGCATGCTAATTTATTCAGTTTGTGAGCTGATATCTATAATTCATCCTGAGCCTCTGGTGACTTAGAACCAAGGTACAGCATTTCAATGAGGATTCAGTAGAGATATTTCCATATGAATTACCCTTTCCTCACATTTAGACAGAAGGTGTAAATGCAGGAAAATCAGTTATCGTTGTGGTTTTGAGCCTGCGTTAAGCTATAGGTTTTCAACTGATATAAAAGAATTAAATAAGTCTTACATTTTTTTTATTGGCCTCAATAAGTACAGAGGGCATAAAATGAACTAGACACTATTTAAAATACACTGAAATCAGTTCTATTTATTTATGGTTTTATATCAGCCTTCAGAGACAAATAAGCTTATTTGAAATTATGATACAGATGATGTCAAAAATATGACCAACTTCAAACATAATCCTCTGATAACTGTTTCCAAACCGACAGTCAAGATTTTGCAAAATCAGTTTTTAGGAAACTGATTTAAAAGTGTACAAATTATAAACAGAGGACTTTTTAATAAGAAAACAACAATTCAGCTTTTGGTCGTCTCTGGAAGCTAAGATGACAACACACACGAAACTGTATAAGATCCATGCTTATAGTATTCATTCATTACCAGATGCACATTATGTAGGCTTTCTTGTCTTCCATCTGTAACATGGACAGCTATAACTTTTAGTACTACACAGAGATTAGTCTTTAGAGCTGATCAAAAGATTGATACATGTTCAAGTAAACACAATAATGACAAAATGTTTAGATGACACATACATACAGCTACAGATTTTCTTTCAAAATATTATATATTCATAATTTTATCCTCTTTAGTTAAACAAGTACACTATATTATAATGGTATTGTACAATTCTAGGTTATAACAAACATTTTACTTTTTATTAATGCATAATTTATCAAGTAATACAAATATTTCTTTTAGCAAAATAATCAGAGTTGTTCAAAGTATTGCATTTGTACAATTAATTGTAATATTCTTCTTCATATTATATTCTCTGTGCATTTCAAAGCCATTTTACTCTGATTAAGTATTCAATAAGTACTGTATTGTTTGAAAGATTCATTACTTAAAATGGAAACTCGTTATCCTTCTGCTGTATAGCACATCATGTTTTCCTGTAAAACTAGAAAACACAAAGTCGTCAAATCAATGGTGACTAATTACAGTACCAAAATACAATAATTACAATTCTGTATGTTCGTAGAAGTTGGATTAAAAATGCAAGTAAACCATTTGCATATAAAGTTTTCACAACAAGCACCATTATAATAAGCCATACATTACAGCTTATTTAAATAGACTGATTCTTAGGTACCGGACAATGTATGAACTATAATAAGAGCAAGGTAATTTATTCAAACGCAACACCGTTATCAAGTTCTATCAATACTGTACTGACTGACCTGTTTATACACTACATACCTGACTAATTAACAATGAAGCTTGGCTCTTGTTTAGTTTACACTTTTACTATTCCTCTCTGAATACAGCTCATTACCCATACTAAAACAAGTAATTCTGCTACATTTTTAAAACAGTATCAGCCACATATGCCATCTTACAAAAGACTTGGTATACTTCAACCAATTTCAATAATGTGAAGATAATCATGAAATTTAATGACTGTTTGATTGCCAGAATTACAAAGAGATTGTGTTATTAACAGAATTATTTCCATGGATGAGCCTAAAGACCTTGCAGTATATTATATTAAACAAACTTGTTCCCTCATCATGAACTATTACATTAACAGTAAGTACAGATATGAGACATCACAGAAAATGCCTTTCATATGAATTTTATTTTACAGAATGAAGTTATATAACTGAGAATGCTATCAAATACAGAGAGAATATCTGGAAGTCACACCAAGACATGAACTTTCAGTCATTACAAATTATTGCAAGTCAGTAATGATTATGGTATTACATTTCTTTGCAACAATAACAAGGGACTGAGAATTGCTCAAGATTTCCTTTGTATATGACATGAATAGAATCATATTAGAGCTCTGGGTGTTTTATATTAATTCTGTATTAAGTGGCTAGGAAGAATTGGAAGACATTCAGAAGAAAGTTTCCCAGGATTTAAATTCCCCAACAGAAATTATTCAGAATCTTGCCATTAAAGTATCAACTTATGTGTTAATAGACAGGAAACTGAAATGTTGTAAAGTATTAACAGACAAAAAAGATAGATGAAATCAGATCTTTGCTTGAATAATCATCTCATAAATCTCTTAAATTCCTTTGCACAAGAAAAAGGAATATCACAAGGCATCACAAGAATCACTACAAAATTATTTAAACTGCGACATTACTAAACAACAGTTGAGCACTTACTGCAGCCAAGTGACACAGCACCCAGACTTAATTTCTATAACTGGTACCTTCAGTCAGTGGGGACACTTAATAACTAAAGCCCATCAAACCAACTCATACACAGAATATCTCAGAATCTCAGACGAATCATTCAACATGAAATGTCCCATACATCTAAAGAAGCACTACAGTGTGTAAGCCAGAATCCGCGTAGAAGGCACGGGGAATGTGTGTGAGTCAATGCGTAACATTTTCAGATCTCATGTAATGTATGGAAGTAAACTGCAAACTTGCTAGAACTGCAGCTGACCGACTAGGAAAAACAGCAATCAATACAGTGATGACGAATAGCAAAAAAGGCCATGCCATGGTGTAGCTGCCAAGTATTCCTTGTCTACATTGGTCTTCTTGTCACCAAATCATAAACTAGCCAGCTGAAATTTCAACGCCATTAATAAATCCAATAATATAATTTTCAGCCAAATCTCAGAAACAGTATATTTACAATACTGAAGATCCCCAATTTTAATTTCAAAATCAAGTTCCCAACATGCGGAAAACACTGAATGGATTTATTTCTTACAGGAAGAGTATCAGCATTTCATAACATTCTTTAAATCACCCAGCCCACGCTGGTATAACATTATTTCTAGCACAGAACTGGAGAGATAGGGGACTTCCTTACTTGGCCAACTTAATTTTCAGTCAAAAAGAAATTCTCGCTTGTTTATTAATGTGAAGTTTGCTCTTTTCACTCAACATGAACTCTGTAACAACATTATATATATAAAAGACCAAAGTCGGGGAACATATAGATTCCTTTTTTACTGGAGAGTATATAAAATACATCACAATCCCCTAACAGTAATTAAACTACATAGAAAATGTTCATTTATCAGTAATAAAGTTAACAATACAGTAATACAGGGTCCCTACTGAATATGGTGTATATGCAAAATGGCTTCCGTTATCCTTACAAATACATTAACTATAAAATCTACAAGCAATAAACAACAAAGGCATGTGTGGTATTGGAAAGCAACGCTAAAAAGTCGCAGTACATTACCATTCTTACATTACTTCGCTGGTATGCAGGTTATTACAGAGTCAGCAGATTTATACAGTCCAATGTAACAGATTAAGACCCATTTTTGGATCAAGTCTGGAAACCGTATGATTTTGATAACTTTATGATTACAATTACACCCCAGTTACACTACGGAGAATCAATCATTCTTTCTGCCACAGTTTTTAATCTATTCACACAACACAGTACTAATATCTAGTTCATATCTCCTGCTTATGACCACATTTTGAGCTTAAAACTGAAGATAATATATACAAAAGCAGAAACCCTGAATTACGTGTAATGGTACTAGAAAGCAATTTGTAAGACACAGCTTCAACATGTCAAAACAAGTTCAATAGTGCTATGCAAATTGTAATAGAGAAACAAATTTATACAACTTAACCTGAACAAAGTACTACACTTTCTTTTTAATATATACAAAAAATATATATGTATTTTTACATACATGTTGGTAAATACACTTTTACCAAAATTCACATTGCCATTAGTGATTTCATGGTCCAATAGCTTCCTATCAAATGAAGTAAAAGTGTGACGTGAAAAAACAATCTCCATCTACTTTGTACAAGTTAGTTACCAGCAGACAAAGAGTTATTAGATTAAAACACAAAACTTCTTGGAGTTTCCCTTACGATGAAGTTGTTGAAGAGAGAATAAATAATGAACAATACAATATAAATGAAAAACTTTCACTGACAGCTTATATATTATTATTTAGAGTAACAATAATTCTACTAGATTTAAATGACTATGTTCTGACACATAAGTACACACTTGGAAAAAGTCATTTATCTTGCATTATGTGCTGATTAGGAAGTTTAATAACCAAGTGAAAGAGACATTGAACACTTTCTTTACATTTTGCATGACATGTACACACACTTCACTAAAAGTTAGTTTTGCAGTACATTTACAGAAATGAGTTTAAACTTATCCATAATATCACATAAATCTCTTAACTGTATAGATAAATAATAAAGATTTGAATTCACATAAGAAAAGTCTAATGTCACAACTTGGAACATAAACTTTACCTTCAAACAGCTCGTGGTATGTGTGTGTTCTATGTCTCCATCAGCATTGCTTGGACTTCACGCAGCCCTGGTTCAGTCACTTGCCGCCCACGTTGCCCTCCTATTTTGTTGCTTATGTGTTTACTCAATCTATGACTTGTAGATTCTATGGACACGCTGGTTGGCATCTCTTATCCGCTGTTCATTTGACATTTCCTATGCAGCACATACACAAGATCAGACATATATAATATTTCATATGGAAAATCTCAATAAGAGGAATACAAAAGCAAACAACAAGAGTGGACTGTGCAGACAAACATAAAACAATTAAACATGAACCTAAATCAAAGCCACTTCCAGTAATTTAAGAAATAAAAAAATATATAGTTTTATTTTCTACTGCCTAATGAGGATGTATGGTTAAGTTCCACTGCCAAGATTACTAATTCTAATAGCGAGAGATTCTTATCAACTGCTGACAGCATTTACTCAGCTTACAGTAATTTCTTCCTTTAATATTTGTATTGCTTATCAAAAAGGAATATCAGAAGCTAGTTTGAGTATATACATTTAATATTAGTTTTCTGCCTTAAAATTTTAAGCGTTTTTCTTCACAATGAACTTTTACTACAGTTGTATTTCTTACAAGAAATTTAAATATGTTAACTGTTTCTGGGACAAAGTGAGGAAGTGGCCTTGTTTAGCATTTAATAAAGCAACAAATATGATGCTAAGCATGACAACTTCACATGATCTATTTTACAGATACTGGTAATAAAGTCAATAATAATAAGCACTTTTGTTGCATCACTGCATGGAACCCACTGCCCATTCTCCTGCCCATCATGTTTACCGATTACTTCAACAGGTCATGGGCTCGCTGGTTGGCCACTGCTATCCTTGTCTCGTTCGACTCCCCCTGCACGGCAAACCACACAACAAACATAAAGCGTCAATTTCTACACCACCATACATTAGCCAAAAGAGTGACACAAAATACTGCTACAAAACAGACACAACATTGAATACAATTTGACAAGTGAACACATGGGGAATGTGCCTTTGGTATGTTAAACTGCTTAATGTTGGTACATTTCCCCAAGTATAAAATCCAACTTTCAATAAAGAATGATTAGGGGCTGTGAAAGCTTACTACAAAGGAGGAAAACTAAGCAAGCAAATTTGTGCGTACATGTACTTTATATACGGAATGAAGAGTATACATATGATAAAGTTGGAATAAATATTCTATATGATAAGTGATTTTATTTTCTTACAAATAAATGTTACAGCCAATATCAGCTAAACATACCACTACATGTACATGTATGGAATGGAGTATAAATTAAGAAAATGTGTATTAAATGTTTTTTAACCTCCATGCTAGTATTCCAATCTGGATTCATCCTTAGAGCGCTCTTACTGCCAATACATTTCTCATTTACAAAAAATTTAAAAATGTTACTGTGTAGGATATGGAAGAAGTAAATTTCTTTGAGATCCCAGAAGACAGTGATCTCTGTTTGTTTAGTCATGGAGTTAACCTTGCCAGAAGAACACTGAATACAACTTTACGTGAAGTTGGTAAGCATGGGATTTCTTGACAGTGACTACAAAGAGTTAAACAAATTGAAATACACTATTCTTAAAGCTTAATTTTTACGGTACGAATTCCAGCTGCACTTGCAGTTGACTACTTATTGTACATTTTTTAGGATATGCAGGAAATGTGACAATGTTGTGGTATGTCTAACTGATTATAAACGTTTTGCAATTTTAGAACTCATAACTGATTAACAAAACTAGTAATCTGTGTATGCTAGTAATAAAAAATAGGGAGCTTAGCTTTTCAAATTTTAAATTTTGAAAACAAAAATTATAAGTGGTCAAGTATGCCATTCAATCAGCTTAACAAACCAATTATTACACCACACACATGTATAGTAACCACAAACAATTGCCACCAGAGTAAACACAAGACTATTTACATTAATATAGTTAACTCATAAATTTTAACATGAAAACAGTGAACATAATCAAGCATACAACCAATGCAAAATTATATCTCAAAGTAACAACAAAAGAAAAACAACACCTGTAAACAGAGTTCAAACTGACTGCATAACACACAGTACAAGAAAGGGTGTCAGATTCTGATAATTCATTAGATACTAATAATGGTATGTAACACTTTCTTACCTGCATCACACTTCAGGAGATAAAAGATAGATAGATAGATACACACACACACACACACACACACACAAGACATATAGCACATAAAACACATGTTCACACATGGGGAATTTGCTGCCAGAAAAGTTCAATATGAATATTTATCTTACATACAATGCACGTAACTAATTAAATAAATATATCGGTACTAAGAAACAATCATTCATGCCCATGGGGAAAGTCTGTGAACCCAGCGGCTTAATGATTGCTTCGTAATATGCTGAGCTTCCTATATTCAACCCCAAATACATTCTTGGCTATGCATGAAACTTTGTATCAAAATTTCAGAAAATATGCTAAGTTAAATTGCATTTTATATAATATGTGATAATATAAGGGCATGATAAATGATTGTAATATCAGAACACCTTAAAAAAATAGAGAATACTCCATAGTAATACTGAAACCTGTAATGCAGTTTCATTTGGACACAGAATGCTAATTCTTTTCTTTCATGCAAGTGAAGATTTGTAGTCTATTTCTTTGAAATTATAAAGGAATATTGAAAGCATCATATGTACAAAACCGCTCAAGGAACAACATGTATTTTGCTTAAATCCTAGTCATAATCTATTCACAAGGGAACAAAACATAAATTATGCAGTCCAACTGTCTGCAATCTGCAACACATCACAAGTATGACAAGTATGTGGAGGATGCGGTTGTGTACCTTGCGGTTGATTCTGTCAATCTGTCTGTTCTGGTTCTCCAGTTCTGAGCCCATGTCAATTGCCATGTTACGCAGGTTGCCGATCATCGTGTTCACCTGCCCCATGTTCTCCTCCATCTCATCTTCACGAGCATCATTTGTGATCCTAGATTTGAATATTATTGACAAAGGTTCAATTCAGCAACTTTCCTGGACATCATGCACTGTCTGAATTATTTTACAGTACCGGTACCTCTTCTCAAGAAGGCATTATGTTATTTATTATTTCACTATCAAAGTGGGAGTTGAAAGACAGACTACAGTTACCATTTTGTTTCCACGTTTTGAGAAAAGAAATTATGATACTGGAAAAATAGCAAATTTTAAAACCTAAATAAATAAGGAAAATTTCGTAAGTTAAAATGAGACAAAATTTGAATATGCTGATTTAACGACTTCATGTTTTTCTCTGACAATTGTTTTCAGACAAAGGCAAATATCCAACAAAACTTTTAATCATATATTTCTATAATAAAATTACAGTGACTGAAGTTCACATTGCACACATACACACACATGTACACAAGGATGATGAGTATCATGGTGTGTTGATTCTAGAGAAAGCTGTGCAATGTCACATACAGTTCTATTATATCATGTAAACTACAAGACATAATTCAATAATCTGTGCATAGTAAATTCCCTGTATTATAAAGGAGACTAAACACATGATACTATAGATTAATCTGTGGTATTTATTATCAAAAATATGAAGAATATGTTGTACTTGAAGGGCTTAAAATGAATTAGAATCTGTTTTGTAAGAGTTGTGGTATTTTTCTCCCCTCTATAAATAACATCAAACAATATGTCAGAAATTAAAATTTCTCAAATCCAATTACCCTGTCTTGTTAGGCAGCAGGGGTTCTGAGGCAACAGAGCACTGCTTGGATATAAAAGAACGGTGAAGGGGAAGAAAAAAACGTAGAAAATAAATCAAATGACTGAAAAAAATTATTGTAATGAATTTAACAATACAAATTGTGGGAATCCATTAATAAATATTCAAGAATAAATGTTTAAGTAAAAAGTTTCACCTCTGCAATGTTCTTTTGTAACAACCTAGACAAACGTGCACCAAGTCATTTTTACCGTAGTACAAGACCTTTAATGATGGTGTACACAGATTCAAATTAATTTAGAAATAAATTTGCTAAAGCTTAGAATTTCTCAAAAAGGTATTCTCAACAAGATTTTAACTGCACTTTCTCAAGCTGTAGTTGAATGATGTATCAGGTGTTCAGCCTCCTCTACCGAGTCTAACTACGTGGGCATTTGACTTTAAAACACACAGCAAACTACTCTTATGTGACAGATACAACATAACAGAACTGATGCATCCAGGGAACAAGGCACAACACAACCAAAGGGCACCACTTGGTGACCAGGTCATTCACCCAAACCTTCTCACCTACCTCAGTGTGAGACATGACAAAATGCTGATTCACCCAAAAGATCTGGCATGCATTCAGTTCAAAAACCCTATTTTATCACTCAAATATCTTCTCTCTCAAAATCCACTATATACATTACCACAGATAACTTCTATTTATCCAAAATATTGTTGCTTTAGACACTTCCTTGATTAAAATAATTTCTAATGATACATTTATCAATCCCTTAAACTGACTCAAATTAACTGAAATGAAAAATAGTATATCTTCTCATTCTAAAGCACGTAACAAAACTATGCAGTATTTTTAAATTCCAAGAAAGTTAATGAAGTGGATGTATGGAGAAACAAATGTGAAAATCTGCATATGGACACAGAATTTTCACATTACATAATTTGTACTGCTATGAAGACATAGTCAGGGCATAAATAAGTTAGAGCTGAGATGTGGATGGGTGAAAAAGGAAAGGTCCAGAGATCAGTTATGTAGCTAAATATAACAAGGCTAAGTCCACTTGAAGAAGTCATACACAAAAGACAAAATTAAGCCAGAAGTCCTTCATAATACCAGGTAGGTGTATGCAGAGCAATGACAGGGACTCACATTGAACTGAAGGCTACACAGTTAGACTACCACTGTCTGTTTTGAATTTCACATTACTAGCAAACACTGTCAAGACACACCAAAGCTTTAAAACTGAACCACACATAAGCTGACACACTGAACACAAAGTCTAGTGGACTGTCGCAAGTTAAAATACTGAATCAAATTCAGATATCCTGCAATACACTTCACAATTAGCTTATATTTTAACAGATTTTACATGATATTTATTTGTAACCACCCAAAGATTTCAAAATTAATTCAGACAGTTGTAAACTCTCTGGAAATAGCTTATGTACACAAGAAGGTGTTTCATTTACTGTCAAAAAAGTATAACAGAAAATTGAGAATGCACTGAGACAAGAAGTTGTAACACCTGCAACAGGAAATATAACATCCAATAGTGAAAGCCTCCAAATGTCAGTCATTATGGACACAATTTAATTTGGAGAAAAGAAAAAGAGTTAGAACTGCCTATGAGTAATATTCAGTGTATTGTATATTAATCTGTTCAATCACGGTTATAATAGTAAACTTCAAAATTCTAAACGTACCACAGACTGAAGTGTTAGAACATTTGGAATCAAGTATACATGTGAAACACTGAGACAACACACGGTAATAACTCTACAAAACCAGACCTGCATTAAATACTGGTACTTTTCCAAAAAAAGTACAGAATTTATGTGTCAAATTACAATGAATGAAAATTTGTAATAAGTGAGAGCCTAAGGCAGTAAAATAAATTTCATTATTTTATAATAAAAGAAACACAATCACATCAACCATATACACAAATATATCTAATGGGTGAATCAGATTTCAGGCAAAAAGGTCTGGGTGAAAAGATGACGCGACATCACCAACCTGGCAATGTATCCTCCCTGGGGCCCCAGTCCGTTCCTGTCATCCATCACACGCTGAGGTTGATTGTTAACAACTTTACCATCATCATTCCCTTTCCATGTGCCCTCATCTTCCTTGAATGACGCTGACCTAAACACAAAGCACTTAGTGCAGTATTGTTTTTCCAATATTCACATTCACTGCAACAGAAGAACTTTCTTTTATCAGTCCTGCAGGGTTCATGAGTGCTACAGTCCTCCGCTTCTTCTGAAAAACACATACGCAAATCCCATGCTGCTCCACCATGTCAGTCAGATAACACAGATTAATGTCCTAAATGTATGTCTAAACGGTTGAACATAATTCATATAAACCTGTACAGAGCTGCTATTTACATACATTCTTGTGAGTTATGTAAATACTGTTTCATGAAAACTATTCAGAAGTTATATTTAAAAACATCGAATGTAATGTGCATTCACTGATAAACTGGAAAACAACTAACATATGGGCATCACATAAGAAAGGTAAGTTGATTTTGTTGCTCTTATCGAGTGATTCTTGGCTCCTATTGTGAAGATCTGTAGCACTTGACAATGAGTCATGCAGCTCCTAACACGAGCTCAGAAGTGACAGTCGCAATCCAGCTTATCAGTGAACACACTGCACATGCCCATAAACTATAAACATCTCGTATGTAACAGTTTAAATACAGCTTCAATAAAAAAACCTGATGTTGGTTCTCATACCTATGTCTGTATGAAACTTGTGATGACGTCCCTCTCGCTTTGCATCGCAAACAACCCTTATAGACATGTAGTTTGCTACGAACACAGGCAGCTTTGAGTGACTTACTTGTTGCAAGGCAGGACACACAATCCACAGCATTTCTCCATGCCTGTAAGGTTCTTTTCTGCTTCTCGCATGTCAGCATTGATTTGGTCCATCCCCTCTTCGATGCGGTCCAATTGCTCTGAGGATAGACAATTGTCAGTTGTGTCATCAGGCGTCCAGGATAAAGTTTCAACAGTTTTCAGCTGGACCTACTGCGTGACCTTGTGTATTGTTTTTCAGTTTCTGATACTACAATTCAGAATAGACCAAATTCATGCTAATGGCAAATTACTGTACTTTCTGTTAAAGATTTAAGACAGCATAACATACTCTTGATAGAAAATTATATGGCAGAATCATATTTGCATGTCCAACAGATGTTCTCATATTTGAAGTTAGTAACAACGTGATGTAAGAAGCTTTCATGAACACTAACATTTTTGTTAACATAAATAACATTAGTATAAAAAAAAGGAAACATGTTAAAACTTTACATTTACAGTGCAGTAAGTCTAGAAATATCACACAGGATGGAAAACTATCACTCCTTTACATTCTGACCTGACCAAGAAGAGAAGGGTAGGCATCATAAATGATAGGGCTATGAAAGGAGATGGGCACTCTGTCCTCATTGGATCAAAAATTATATTACTTAGTGCAATGAAGTCTTCTAAGATAATCAGCTGTGTCATTAAGCACTGTAATCCATTTCAGAGATTGTCTCTATCTCCATGATCAGGGTTAATGTGACAAGACAGACACAGACAGAAGACACACACGTATGCATGCGCGCACACACACATACACACACCAACCTTCATGATGGAGGCAGAGAGAGTGTCTCTTAAATGTTGGATTATAATACCACTCACACACAGGCAACTGGCTGAGAAGACATCAATGCATTCAGTTGCCATGAAAGCTTTAGATCTTACACATCACCTGCTACCATTTCGTATGTATTTTAGTAGATTTTAACATTTCACTGCAGCAAATTACAATTCTTCTCAAGCCATAGCGCTCTCTGTTGTAACATTTTCTATGTGCCAATATTTCTGGCAGCCAAAATTGTAGATAGTATTGGGATAAATCTCTGTGTTATAAACCTAAATGTTTGTGACGAGGATATGTTATTAAATTAACAAATATTTTGGACTTTCTCTATACTCTAACTTTTGAATAAAAACACATTTTGAAAACTATACTCCAATTTTGTCATTAGGTAGTGTGACACCTACTCTGTTGGGCCCATTAGACAGAGTTAACCTCGAAGATGGCTGTCTCCTGGGTTGTAGTAAAAGTGTAGTCTGGTAAAAGTTTACCGACATTTCAGAGGTCCTTGCTGCCTCCATCATTGTCAGTAAACTTGTACCAGACTATACGGCACAACCCAGAAGACAGCCATCCTCCAACATTATGCACGTTCCACAAATAACTAATCCTCTGCCTTATTTTTATGTGACCAACATAACTGTTTTATATTTATACTATATGGTCATGTAGGGGCAACCAATGTTTTGGAGGAATGTACTGCATCAATTTCAGCGAAAACCTGAAAAAGATAATTGATATCTTCACTGCCACGAAAACCTCAAATCTTATCAACTCTATTTTAAAACTTCAAATTATCTACTTGTAAGTACTGCTTTATTCATTTACAGCAATGGCTCAAAGACAAAAAAAATAGTCTTTACTGTGTAAGGTTGAATGACTGCCTCATAAATCAGACCAAATTTCTAGTAACTTATTCTTAGAGTAATTGCTCTTCTACCTGACCAGTACATTTCAGATTTGAGAGTCATCCAACACTGAACTATTCCTGGCATGTGAAAGAAATACACAAAAATCTTAGATAAAAATAATATGTAAATTACACTTCAAAGTTTTTCAAATAAACTGCTATGGAATCAAACACGACTACAAGTAATATTGTGGTATTACATCCAACAACATTGGTATTTAAATTTTAAAGTGTTCATCATAAGACTTACGTTACTGTACATATCTAAACCCAATAATTATCCTTTGTCTTGTCTCGGTGGTATACAGTCTGAGCTATGACAACATCATTAAATAAACTATAAACAAACAGTTTTGACTTGGCTTGTGATTTTTAACCAAAATGGGAGTCATTCTTAACAAAAGACTGACAAAATAAGTATACCAAAACTTGTGCTGAATGACATTGCTTAATAAAAATGGCTATATTCATGTCGTAAAGTAGGAATTAATGACCTTCTCCATATCTACTAGAATCAACAAAATTAATGCAATATTTTTTGTAAACATGTGTTTCTATATGCACATCAGTCTATACAGAAAATAATTTACTGAAAACAGTGAATATATGTGGCCAAAGAACTGACTTCAACAAAGATTATACAGATTAGAAAGCTTGTGCCTGTGTTAACAGCAGGTAATTTCATGTCTTGCCTCTTAACTGTTCCAAACCTAGGTGCAATTTTATCCCACCAACAAAATTACTAGGAAGTGAAAAATGAATGGTATCTAAAAAAGTAACCTAGACATACAGATAATACCATGCAAGTGACGATGCTCAGCACTGTATAGTGAGTGTAATAATGAATCCTCTGTTGACTGAAACAGTAGCATTCCCTTGGCTTATAACACAGCCATGGTCTGCTGAAACTATATACAGTAAACCATCGATTTAACAAGTTTTAGATTTAAGAGACACTGTCTGGTACTACCAAATTTGTTTATAAAATGTCAGCAGAGGTTTCATTTGAATCTCACATCTTAACTGACTACTACAACTTCCGTATACTTGGTATATAAACATGTCAAAACACCCGATTTTAGTAACACCTTACATGCATTATGATGATTTAAAGAAGTAAGACATGGCAGTAACATAATTGTTTGATTCTTTACTGCATGAAAATACTTCTGGATGGTAAATGCTGGATGAAGTTGTTGTAACAACAATAAAAATTATATTTTTTTCATGATATCTCTATACTGAAAACAGTTTATTAATAAATGAAACCAGATTTTCAGTACATTTATAAAACTTGAGTCATTTTAAGATTTACGTAATGGTAGTATACTTTTTCACATGTGGATGTTGTGTGAAACCAAATTACTGAAAAATGTGTTATGTTCAAATTCTATTTCAGTGTGTGTCTATTATCTTAATGACAGACATGCATAATGGAAGACCAATAAATGAGAACCTTCTAATCCAACATTTTCTATCCAAATTCATTCTGGAGTCTTTACACTAAAAATCATTGAAAATTGCACTTACATGTTGTGAGCTCCTTGACAGTTTGTATGAGTGTTGTGTGAGTAGTTATGAAAGGGTTGATTTTAATAAACGTATTAGTGAATGTTTCTTGTAATCATGAAAGTTATAAGTTACTATAAATCATCCTACACACAATTCATTCACATGTTAAATTCATCTCCTCCTGCCCCCCCTCCCATTTATTAATTACACATTTATCAGCTGAGAACAACAAAATACAGACTGATATATAATGTTGTACCTTGAGCAAATAGTGTTACAACTTTTTCTACAAGTCAGCTTTTAAAAAACATATGAATGGAAACATTATAATAAAACTGTATAACTACACAAGATACTGAATCAAATTAAGATAGCAAATGAAATGGTTCTAGAAAGCTGTAGAATCCAATATCTACTTCACACATATGGTGTATACTTCAAATTAAAACTACTCTATTGCTGATGTAATTATAACTGCCTAGTCTTGAGACAGGCAGCACTATTTTGGCAACAATCATTACCTAACCTAACCTACAACCCCCTAAAATAAAAAAAATACTCAAAGAACATGCCTACAATTACATTATGAAAAATTACACACTGTTAAATACTCTGCTTTTGAAACATTTACTGAGATTGAAAAGTGGAGAACTTAGAAATTGATATTACTCTACCACATATTAAAAGCAGAAAAGTAAACAGAATTACTTTTAATTAAAAGAAAATATAAATAATACTGAAAACAGATTTTCTTAAATGAATGATCATTACCATCACCAGATGTGGCACTTTTATTTCTACATTTAAACTGTAAAACAGAAGCAAGGGCCAGAATAGAGGTAGTCTACCAACTGGACAAATCAAAACTCACTTGATAATAATGTACAATATGGATTGTATGTAAGGAAATTTACCTTGTATATAAAACAGTAATACTAAGAAAACTCTTCTCTACTTTATACAGAACATACTCAAAAGTGATGGTAATGATCATTAGTCACAGTAGAGACAACAGATTACAGACTTCAGTTAAAAAAATATTTTAAACAGTTACATACCACAGTAGTGTTGGGTAAGTTCCTTTCAAAATGTGTAATTCTTCACATGAACTGAAACTGACATTCAGGAGCAAGAATTTACCATAAGATTATACATTATTACACAGACAACTGTACACAGAGTACTGAAACTACATCCTAACCTCAACATTTTTCGTACTGATCAGTGTTAACATACACTTTAATAAATACAGTACACCAGGGACAGAATCCAGTAATTTTATTAATTGTAGGTATTATATTTATAATCAATGTAATATAAATTTAATAAGACAGTAAATACATATATAAAACACACTTTGAACATGATTTGGATGTTATCTTTTCATTGATAAAATATTCAGGTATATGATATAAGCTATAGTTGAACTAGAACAGCCGTGGGCAGTGCCCTGATATGTTTCTGAGTGCTGCAAGTACTACCCTAGCACTTCCTTACAGATAGTGACTTCAAACATGGACAGCGCGGCTTAAGATTAAGAGCACTTGTGAGCCCTGGCTTATAGTATGCCCCCCTAGAAGTGTATAAAAAGTATGTGGTATATAACTGACAATAAACCATCCCTTAAAATGTAATGCAAATGAGGTCAAAAACATTAATATTACTAGCCATGTTTAACCAATCAAAAAGCCTAATAAAGTTTAATATATCTTTGGTAAAGTCTTGCTCCAAACAGTCTGCAATGATTTAGGACAAAGAATGAGATTTGTATATTACCCAACACAAACAGAAAGGAACATACGTCAAGAACACATGACATTGAAGTGATTACTCGAGTCACATCGAGTACCCACACAACTACAAAAATTTGTTGTACAACACAGTACAACTGAATATGGAGCCTTACCCCCTTGTTCATCCAACATCACTAGCGATTTCATTCCGACTTCGTGGCTCTACAAAAATAGTAACAGGAGCATCAACACGTGTGGAGACGAGTAACTGAACCCAAAACAAATATAATCCTATCCACCAGACACTGATAATATCTATGTAATCCAGTAGATTCACTAGGGATGACGAATCCAACACTGAAATCCTTCAATGAAAGAAAGTATAAATACATCCACAAAAAGTTTTAAAGAACAGTCAGTGCACTACGGTTTTTGCAAAGAAGACTTTTTTGTTTTACATGATGTTTAAAACTTCAAAAGTGTACTACAAATGAACATCTTCCTTGCAATTATCATAGTTGTAAGAAAATTCAATGCAACATTTTTTCATAATTAATGTACAGTGTCTATACGATTTTATGTAAGTTTTTCATATTTGTTTAAATTTTGAAACAAAGTACTCTATATAGACATTAATTGATTGTTATAAACTCAATGAGCAAACTCATTATCCACATATTGTAAACAATACTTAGTCATCCCTAGTCAAAATATAGTAAGTCTACATACATGCATAAATATAAACTAACATAAAAATTAAAATATAAGACTAAAGAAAAAACAAATATTAATAAAGAAATTTAAAGTGGAGTTAAATAAAAAGAGGAAGGCATGCCACAAAAACAATTATAAAGTCCAAGCTTGTTCCCTGGGTTCAGGTTCAGCCGGGCTGGACTGCTGAGCAGTACAGTCTACTGTTCTAATGCTACCACTACACCACTACCCAACTACTGACAAACTACAGGCACCGTAGCTGGCTCCAACTCCGCATCCCTCTGTTACTGGGAACACATACAGTCAAGAGTCTACCACAACCACAACACCAGCGCCTCCAGCAACAAGAACTGGACCCAGTTTTTTATTTAATATAAAGTTGGTTTGAAGACCAATTTTCCCATTTTTTTGCTGAAGTTGTAAATCACTGTCCAGTTAGAAGGTAAGCAAACCCAGAAACCTTGTTCTATGCGATCTGCATGATGATCATTGGTGCATTCCTAGAATAATTAACATGGGTTAGTGATTGCCCAAGATCAACACTGACACCTCTAATGGCATGACTACTAAAACACTGCCCCATTATGGGCTTTCTTACCCCCTTGATGATTCAACAGTGAGAGCGTTTGTCCACCAACGTCTTGACTCTACAACGGCATGAAAGTAAGAAAAGAAAATTCAAAAAACAAACACACATACAACTAGATGTAGGTGGAAACAAATATTTAAAATGCTACAAAATAACATTACATAATCAACAAAAGAACAAACAAAAACAAAGAAGCATACATTGCTGAAAGCAGGAAACTGAAATTGAGTTTTCAACATCAGTTCTACAGAGCCAACCCTCTTCCTTGAACTGTATGGATGTATGTATGTATGGGGAAGGAGTCCTGAGTGAATACACAGCAAAAGTCCAGTTGTGCTTGCTTGTCCTATTGCTTGCACCAGTCTTCATTGTAATAGATAAACCTACAACCACATTCCCAATGCATATCCCATAAAGGTACTCTTAACAATCTTCATTTGCCGTGGAATTGTTAGAAAGCTGTGAGAAGCTAACAGGTGTGAGGAAAACCACTGGATTCATCTGGTTCAGGGCGGGGTCAAGCAGCAGGTTCTCGCAAACGTGGTAATAAACCCTCATATCCTATAGCCATATAAAGATGAGCAATTTCTTCATTAGCTGAGTGACTATTATCTTCTCAAGATGGGTTCGGCTCCATGAAGTTAGGTCAAGAATATATAAATTACCACATTACATGACACTATTAATTTTTTGCTCAAAAATTTTCAAAATGGAGGAACATGTAACTGTGAAAACGTGCAATCGAAACAGTCTGCTAAAAAATAAGCTGAAGACAAGCAAGTACAGCTAGACCACAGCACTAGAGCTGAAGGCATACTGAAACGCACGCACACCAACATTCGCCGAGCCTCTCCAACACGGCCAAGCCATGAATGTCACGGACGCAAGATAATGATAAACACGTAAATTGTCAAATTCAAGGAAGTCTTACAAAGGATGTGTGTACTGAATCAAAAATATATGAAATTGCCAATTTCTAAAGATAAAGCCTTTCCAAATAACAACAATAACCACCTTGGAAATGTATTTTATACAAACACATCTTGGGTACCATACAGACATGCAAAGTCATTTCTTTAAATTTACAATTATTAATTCATTCATTTGCAGGACTTGTAACACCTGTGTTGCTTTATGTTCATCATTCTGTTTAAAACTAAATGGTAGTAACAAAAACAACACTGAAAACTGTGATGTGGTACAGTGTGCTGGTTCCGCATATAATTCAGTAGCAGAAGTCTCTCAAGTTTTCAAATGTGGCAGACGTATCTCACTGAATTATTTGTCTGGTAATCATACTTGAATGTCTGAAATGTTCATCCCTTTGTGTGTAATGTGCAGAAATCAGTATCAATGCAAAAAATATATTTTGCCCCTCTTTCCTAACAAGAAGAGTGTTTCAGCTACTCACTAGAGTTAAAAGTCTAATAACATTTTAACAGTCTGAAACAAACATATCACATATGGAGGACAAGCAATACATATCAATGTACGAAGCAACTGTTTACATTGTTCTGTTTAAAATACCAGTGTTGAACCGTGTTCTAAACTCTAGGGTACTATGTGGTACTTACATTTGTATAAATGTATGTGGCAGTTAATGTAAAACTCATCCTATAAAACCAGTCATACATAAAGAAAAGGTAAACTATTAACATGTATGTTCAGTTAATTATCACAGTTTACAATTTATGATCAGGTCACTTACGGATTTAAATAGTCAGGTTAAATTTAAGATGTATTTTAATTAATATGAATATTGTAAAACTTTAGTTATAATATTCTTTTTTAAAATGAAGAAACATGATACATGCAACAGAATGCAGTCGTAATATCTTAGTCCTGGTTTGGTTTTTCATGTTCTGACTTGCACAGTTTTACAGATCACTCCTTAATCAACACCTTCAAACAACAACCTTACACTAAACAAAATGGCCACAGCTGCTGAAAGCAATCAGTAGGTGGTATGCAGTCTTCATGTCACCATCCTTATTGATGACTGGGTATTAACAATTTAGAATCTGTCAGACTTTTATTGAGATGGGTATCCCATATGCACTAAATTAAGGATACAGGGTCAGGATATGAACAACATTTCCTTTGACACCTGTCTTCAATTAAAAACAACACATAAACTTGTCCAACCATAAATAAATATAGATTTCAGAAAAAGAAGCCCATAAAGAAATTTAGCTGAACAAGGCTGAATAGAAGTGATGGGTGAATAGTGCATGATGTAAGAAATTCAAAACTGAAATGCTGTTATGTTCACAATGTTAACAACTGTATGAAAAATTGCAGTGCATAAATTATGCTGATATGTGACTGTACAGGCACTGCAACTGAGCTTTAAGTCAAGTATTTATTAAATGTAACTCAACAAAACTTATAGATCAGTACCACTTCCTGGGCCACTTCATCAATATAACAAATAAGCATTCATGAAATAAAGTTAACGTTGATTTTTTTAATAATACATAATCATTAACATGAAACATATGTGCCTTCTCAAATGCTTCATGCCCACCTCATGTAACTGCAGTGGAAAAATGGAATTGGTGCATATTAGGAACACAGTGCCAGACCTAATGGATCAACGTTCAGATAGTCTTTTGCTTTGTCTGCAACTATGTACACAGAAACCATTAAAAGCATGGTAACAGGATCACGTGTTTGATGGTAATATGAAAATTACTGCTTCCTCCACCAGACCTGGCACAATTTGAGGGAGGACAAGGGGAACTCACCTCCCTGGTCGTCCAGGGCAACCAGTGTGCGGATGCCAGCTTCCTTGCTCTGAGCAGCACGAAAAGAAAGAGCCACAACCATTTAGTCTTCCTATCGACAAAAATAAGCAGATTCGACGAATTTCATGACACCCAAAGAAGGGGCCAAAACATTAAGATTTTTATTTATCCCAACAAGTGATCTACTCTACATTGGATTAACTGAGTTACATGACGAAACATATCAAATGCACCAAAAGCACATCAAAGTTAAATGTTACGCAGATTCTAACTGCATTCCGTAAGTCAATGTAATCTGTTACATGCTGAAGTTATGCACATCCAAATATGTTGAAGAATTAGTTTATATAATGCAATTTGAAGGATAAAACAAGACAACGTTTATTCTCATGATTATATGAAGGATGAAATTAAGATCATAAATAAATTCTAATAATGAAGTGAAATATGAAATTATTAATGAAAATTAAAATATTTACAGAAATGAAATTGCAGTTCAGTACCCAGTTAAGTATTAAGGAAAGGTCAAAGTCCACGTCTGACAATGCATGATAGATACCGGTCACAGCGTAAATTTACATTAGGGGCAACTGGGTAAAACAAATCTTACATAAGGAACAAAAATGGACATTTACTAATAAATTCAGTTCACTTTTACTTGGATACACAGCTGTTTACTCAGTTATCCAAAATGGTGGTCAACCACATGCCACACCTAGTCTCATCTGTCACTTTTGTTTTTTATGCCGGTTTCTCTCTTACTATGTTATCCAAGAGTTTTATCAGATGAAAGATACAGAATGCATGTGCGGAAAGAGATATCTGAAAAGAGTACAAACATCCATGGCTCGAGTGAGATGCACACCTGTGACCTCAGTTATAAAAACTCATGTCTTAATGATTTTTAATTTAGACCATGTAGGTTGTTTTGGTGGTATGTTATTTTGCAGGCTAAGAGGGTAATAATCTTCATCTTGAAATTCAACAGGATTAGTAATCAGGACAAACTGCTGGTCAGGTACAGAGTTAATAACATACTATGCTTTGTTGTGGACCAATACATCATTACGATGACCCTCGGTGAAGACCAGACAACTGAGCATTGCCCAATGTCCCAGTCAGCCCCTGCCTCCTTAAACAAGGAGTGAATCAGATGGAATGTAACAGATCCTTGCATGAGGATGACATTGAACTGTGCGAAATGTTTGGAAGTGAAGAAACATATATTTAAAATGTCTAATTGCTCCTAACAGATGTTTGCAGCCATTTGCTTATTTAAAAAAACTGTGTAAAATGATGTGAGTACAGGCAAGTAAAGCTACTCACAATACATTGCTACATAATGATGTGTTCAGTGACACATACTGACATATGGTTCCAGTCACAAACATAAAAGATCACTTGCTGGGACTGGACATGTGGGTTTGTAGCACACCTGTACATGCGGGCAGACAGCATTAGCTGTATGGCACACCAAGTTGAATTGGACCGAGTGTTTTAACACTGACACACTGAACGTACATACAGCACATTACAAGACAGTAAGTACAGCTGCACAGAGATTCCACAAGAGAAAGAAAGAACAAAAAGTACAGCCACTAGATAGATTTGCAGGGCAGGGCGAGGGATATCTTGAAAACACCTACACAGAAAAAGAGCCACACAACTTCATAACATGGAAGAGACATAAGCTGCGAGCTGGCACAGAGAGAGAAAAGCAAATAGAGAGAGTGTGTAGAGAGAGGGAGATAAATAACTTTGTCTCCATTATCTATCTCATGTTACTGTTGTTGTTGTTGTTGTTGTTGATGATGATGATGATGTTGTTAATGTTGCTGTTGTATTTTTTTGTTTTGTCCCCCCATGGAGGATGAAAAAATGTACAGTTTTACAGACACATGCAGCAGACATTGAGTTGAGGTTTGAGTTTTTGATTTTCGCTACTGCACACTGCGCCTTACCTCCTGAACCACACGCTTCTCCTGCTCCTTCCTCCCTTTACCAGATTGTCTTAACTAACTACATCAGCACAGGTAGACAGACAAACAACAAACAACGAAATTTCCAACCACTGGGGTTTTAATTCATTCCATTTTCTCGCCTGTCTGGTGGGAATTCGATCTGATGTTCCACTATGCTGCTTGGGAATTTGTCTGCACACAGAACTTCGCTAACAAAACTTACTATAAATAGTGCAAAATCAAACTACTAATCCATGTTCCTAAAGCAAGTTATTTTAAAATTCTTTTACAGTATGTGCATAACAGATCTGACTGAAACAATATAAAGTCGCATTATCCATAATCTCCAGAATATTTATGTTAACTATTCTTTGACATTCTTATTGGGGCTACAAAAATATAGTTTTGGTTAACTCATTTCTGTGTGGCAAACAAGCCAGTGGAACAGAATGGCGAACATGCTACGGGACACAAGATAGAACAGTAAACAGTTAACAGTCAATATAAAAATGTTGTAATTAAAACATTATTTCTTTCATTTTTTGTGAAAAGTTATAGAAATAGATGACCCAATCTACACTAATACAGTAATCTAAATCACATTATAAGCAGCTTTCTTTAAAATATTGACAAGCTAAATACCAGTATTAACAACCAAATTACATGGGAAATGGTGTTGCAAAAGAAAACTGTTCTTTTCAGTTATACAACGCGTAACAACTATGTCAAATATAAGTTGCGTTAATTAATTTAATGACAGAGTCCATACTGCTATTCAGAACCTGCCAGTGAAATTCAATGCTCATAAGAATGTACATTTTTAAATTCCAACCCCAAGTAAGGTCTACTAAATAATTTCAACAGTATTATTAATTGGATTCTGGATAAGAAAGCTTTACTTGAGGTTACATAAATTAATACAGAAATTTGAAAGTAAAACTAGAATTCAATTATAGAGGTAAATACAGGTTAATCTGGGCTTGAAATTTAAATGCACTATAGTTAATAAAAGGGCATATTAAAAATTGTAACACTTTTATGCTACCACACTTGTAAAATCAAAAACATGTAAATGCATATAGCGAATAAGATAAAAATTTCTGCAGCTGCCAACAGTTTCTGCAAATAAAGAGAATCATTACAGGTTAATCTTAATGGAAACACCACATATCTCCGTCTCTGAAAACAGACTGTTCTTCTGATGAAGACAATAATCTAAAAATAATAAATTACATTTCCAATAAAGTGGCCTGGATAAACTGAATAAACACTGTTGAAAATGCACGACAAAAACTAAAAGCAACTTGAAGGAAAGTTTTAATTCATCATAAACATTAATAATAAATTCAAACAAACACAACACACCTATACAGTAATTTTCACTGGATCTGGTAAAAACATCAAAATGCACAATGAACAATCACAGATACAACAGCAAGGTGTGAACGTAACACCAAAATGGCATGAGGGAAGAAAAATGTGCTTTCGACAGAACATCCATACATCAGCACCAGAGAAAATTTGTATAACGACAGTTCATAGATAGAATGATGCACACTGCTACTCAGTATCCAGACAGCACAGGTAATAAAGAGTTAAGATGAAAGTAAACACTGAAGACTGAGGAAGTAAGGCACATGTGCAATACAAATACATAAACCGAGATGGACTGACGTTCTACTGAAGAGAGCACCTTCTGTACTAAAATGCCTCATTTACTGTAAAAACTGTGAATGGCACACATAACTGACTTAAATTTTAAAATTATTTCAAACACAGAATTATATCTTAAGAATTCTATCTGCTCTACACATAAGAGCATTTATTCTGCAGACACATTTTGGGTGTCCAATCATCATCAGTGCTGCGTTCAACCAATGACATACAGTCAGCTGACTGACTGATCTACCCCTGCTTTTCAGTCTGTCATTGCCCACCTCATGCTAACTGCAACTAATATGAGACATGAGAAACCTGCTGAGACTCAAACCCAGGATGTCCTAAGTATAAAGCAGCACTGAAATACTAATTTTGGAAAATACGTTTCTTCGGAAGAATTAAATTACATATCAATGATTCCGATGAACAAAAAAAAAAAAAAAAAGCAAAATTGTCAACAAGTGGCTGAGATGGTTAAGTAAACTTGGATGAATTCATGTTGCTTGCGCTGGGTATACACGAGATGTTTACAATTTTGCTGTAATGTTGGTAGAAAACAAAATTAAACGCGTGAGAGATTTTCCACGAATATCTAATTTTAGGAACCCCCTCCGTCAAAATCGATGCCACTAGAAAGACTGCGAGCTGCGATCGCACAGAGTATCAGCAAACACCCTTCGATGACGTCACATATTGTACTCGGGGGCACCATAACTTTTTAAGTTTTTCCAAAGCCGAGCGGCCAGGTCGGAAAAAAACCGCCTTCTAAAATAAGCATTCGAGTGCAAGACAATGACGTCAAGGAAGAGGAGTGAGGGCGGGCAGGACAGAAATACACGAACGATCGAAGATACCGACTCTCTCTTTCTCTGGTAATGGAATAACAGATGTGCTCTCTCACCCCCTCACCCTTTTTAGCTTATCAATGAACGAGTTTCTTTTACACTTTCAAAAAACACAGAACGTGGTCTCATAATTTATGATTGACGAAGGTACAGCGTATTGGCGACAGATACATTAATCTGAGAGCTCCCATTTGCCTCTTCACCAACATTTCCACGCCACACCCATACAATAAACCCCCCCCCCCAAAAAAAAAACCCCCCTTCGTAAACAACTGTTACATTCCAGGCTCTCACACGACAACAAGTAGGAAAATGGCTATCTCCTGGGTCCTTCTGGAGTGACCAAAGGTGTCCGACGCCCCAGATGTGACGAGGACCTTTCCTGCTGTGAATATTTGTTGTCCTCCCCAAAAGATTCTTACTGAAAGAACAATTCTTATATTCATGGTCCAAATGGCAATTATTTAATCTGTTTTGTGATGTGTTGTCCTTGAGACGGGCCGAATCCCCGTCAAAAGAAGCGTAGAGCTGGTGACAATTGACAAGACGCTACCGTTCGTTGCTGAATACCAAAAACACGAACTGCGCATGCGCGAATGGCTCATACTGCGCTCTGCGCTGTAGTGCTCAGAAAACATCAGGCAGTCTCACACTGATCAACAACAGTATGTCAGATCAGGTTAGGTTAGGTTCAAAATTAATCCTAAAATAACTTCTGGTTGACAATAAGCGTAGTAATATTAATAATGTAATATTAAGCATAATCCCATGGTTATTCGACTTCACTCCATCTCAGTTCTGTACTGCAAACAGTTCTGTTATCATTAAAAAAATATGACAAAATGTAACCTAACCTAACTCACCTCTTCACATAGCGATATCATCCGTCGTGTACTGTCCAGGGACTGAAAGAAATAAAACAAACGGTTTAAATATGAGTACCAGACAAACTTCAACAACGTTCTGTCGTCGGGACGAATCTGTACGCTCGAGATCCGTTAAAAGTACGAAGTAAGAGTACCACAGGGGTGGGACAGGTATCAGATAAGGAAGCTTATACTGCCCTTACTAAAACATTATTTCTCAGGGGCAGTTCTTTGTAGCTCAATGTCTCAGTTCCTATGTATTTCGTTTACACAATGTGTAAGTTTCTTTCCATCTATCAGCAGGGTAGTGACGTAGTCAAAACGCACAGATTCGCCCCGACAATAGTATTTTCAATACAAGACACATGAAATAACTTCTGCAGACAGCTGACATCTTTTTGTTCAAGAAAGTTTGTGCCGGGATACCAATCGTTTATAGGGGTCTCCGTAAACACTACAAGCTACATTTTGTTTTTGTAAGTTTTGAAGGATTTAAATTTTATGTTACAAAAAAATTACAATTACCACAACTGGATGAAATGAATGAACAGACAGCTAAATCTAGCTGGGGAAGGAAATTCCATTACCTTGATCCAACAGAAATAGAGTACAGTGCTTTGTATACTGTTTACACTGCCAGCTGGTGTGGAGCACAACAGATCTAGCTAGTTGGTAGATTACATCTCTCAACGTTGTGAGTATTCATAGATTAATTCTGTGAGATTCACAATTATTCTACCTAAAATACGTTTAGTGGACAGTAATGTACAGCCAGAAAGACAATCAGAAAGAGACGCGATCTCTGAGGTAACTATAAGTGTTGGTTAGTGTTGTGAACGGACAACTCTTGGCAAGGAAAAGCAATTATCTCGATATGGCAATAAGTTTCGATTGTCACAGTAGCCTTCGTACAAATTGCATGATTCAAGGCCACGGAAGGACTTCGCCCCCTTTACTGAGCGCCCCTTAGTCACCAGTACAGCGTCGCTAGCGTTGTTATGCTGCGAGTTCTGAGCTGTCCTCATTCGCCTGGGATCCGCTGTTCGTGCTGCTGTGACCTCGAAACATGTAATTTTGTGACGGCAACTTTCGAGATATCCAAAGATTGGGTTAAGAAGGCCACAGGTGACCATGACGAACTCCCTCTGTAGGGGCTGTTAGCAACCGAAGTGACCAGTGGCGAAAAAATGGGTTATTACGGGACCAGCAACTTGGGGCGGGTGGTACAGGGCTTTCTTCTCAGATTCTGTGAAGTCGCTGGGAGAAGCATACCAAACAGACAATTAATTACAGAATTTTTAGTTTACCAAGGAAGAGTTGGTAGGAAATGAAACTATGGTACGAATATTCAGGGCAAAAGCAGATTTATTGTCCAGTTCGCTTTTACAACGTTCAGCTGTAAATACGGCGAACATTCCACGGGTAATTTTATTGGCTGCAGCCCAGCCAATCATTCATTCCATAGGGATTCAACAGAGCAGCAAGAGGACGGCAACCCGGCAAACAGGAAGAAGGAAGGGGAGGGAACGAGAAGGAAGGATGCGCTTAAAATGTCAGGGCATGAACTCAACTGCACGCGGGGGTCAATAACAAGGTTAAAATCCAGTGTTGCTCAGAATTATTGAAACTGAACGAATTACTTCGACATAAAGCATCAGATGCTGACAGTGAAACAGCACAGGCGGTGTACGAGGTTACTCCTTTAGGTGACGCAACCAAATGCAAACCCAAAGGAAAGAGAGCACTTGGGAGACCTAGACTTAGATGGCGGGAAAATATTAAAATGTATCATATCATCTTAGCAGTTTTGGATGAAGCATACAAATTATGTAGTTCCTTATTTTGTCCACCGTGGGGTTACTGATACTTTCCTCAAGTCCAGACATTTTCAGCAACTTGTCCCACGCTGGAACTGAAACTGAGTCTCACACGATCGCAAATATTTATAACTGCACGGAATTTGCAATACAGAGGCGGGATGGGCAAAGAATATAGAATGTACAGGCGAGTGAGTGGACCACATAAGAGTTAATTAGTGTCAATGGCTATTGTATGATCAGTGTTATCCCACTACAGTCCACGACTATAATCTTGAGACTTGCAAGGAATGCAGGAAGTCCGAAGCGTTAAAGGCAGACGCTATCCTTCCTCCTTCACCCCACCTCCTCACCCCACAAGTCTCAAGATTACAGTCGTGGACTGTAATTATATATGGTAAACACTGAAACTAAAAAAAAACTGACTTGCAAATACTCTACTTGAAGTAAACCGTTGGTTTCAAATGTTATGTGTAACATCCATGAAATATAACATTCGATTCACACGAAAGAAACAGGTTTTGAAATAAATCACTTAGATGAAAAAGTACGAGGGTGAGTCAAATGAAAACCGTAAAACTGAGATAAAAATTCGAAATATCGCGCCATTGTCCTATAAGTTGGCAGACATGTTACCAATGCTATAAAGAGTATCCTATAGGTGGTAGTATAATGCAGACAAACATATCGCCATCACAGTGCCAATTTGAAAATGGCTGCTCCACTAGTTACGTGCACGAAAGAAGAACAACGTTCTGTAATTCGTTTTTTGATCAGTGAAGAATCTTGAAGAATCATCTTCGACCTGCAGTCAGATCAAAGCGACGTGGACTTTTGACTAGAGGTGTCCTTGACATGACAATGCTCGGCATAACAATTTCAACGAATAGAAACAAACCCAACTCGCCAAGTGAGGCTAAAAAGAGTCACAGAGCCAAAGCACGGTCGAACATGTAAGAATCGGCAATTACGCTGAAGACAAGCGGCGAATTCAGTTCGCCGTGCAGATGCGGCAACTTCTCCGACACTGCTGTTCAGCGTGACACTTGACTTTCAGGCGTATGGAAACGCTCAGTGGCTCGTAATGTACGTTCACTATAATAAAATGGTTTCCCAGCTGTGGTCCACGTACCCCTCGGAAATATTCAAAATGTTAGGTGGTTCACCAAAAAATGGGTTATGGCGAGTATCTTGTCTGATCACACCAGTTTGAAGTAAAGTCACAAAACGTTTAGACCATGGACACCGTCCGGTGCTGTAAACAGCAACATCATGCTTCCATCTTCAGGAAGGGAGGGGTAACGACGGTAACAACTTACCTCGACTTGCTTAGCATTTACGGCGGGCGACAGAACATCGCCACAGCGCTCCACCATCGTCCCAGACTCCACGATACAAACACGTCAGAAATTATGGAACTTCTCCAATCAGCTCCTACTAATTCTCTCTTTTCCCATTCATCAATTACCTCACTTCATTGTCAGAACTGTCAGCGGTATTCAAGACAAAGGTGTATTACTAATTACTATTCAGCGTCCTGACCACTGATAACAGATTTTCACTGTTTAATTTGCATGAACTACAATAAATTTGTTGTGACTAAACGCGAACATGAACATCGGAGTCATATCAAGAAAATCTGACATGTTATTTCCAGTACTAAGCGATCCAAGTTACGTGATCTGACCAAGATCTGACACCACACTGACAACGGAAGTGTGAAACGAGTTGAAAGGTAGAGAACACACCCGGGCCGTCACCCATGGCAACTCGCATGACCCTACAAACACTCCTGCCCTGATGGACACGCACGCGCATGTCACACCGGGTTATCTTCCGTAACCCACTCCCTGCTTACGCCAACGCACCTGGTCGTACGTTTTATGAATGGATGAACGGAAATGCCAAAGCGTGCTCGCAGTCGACTTAATTCCACCACCCTACTGCCTCTCTCGCATCACTGCTTCACAGAAACGATGTCCAGGAAAGTTTCAGGAAGCTAAGGCTTAACCATACAAGTTCGCAGGAAAAAAAATGCTTCACGGAAATTCTGCTCCGTCATGTACGAAGTAACATTGCGCCATATACATTCGCAAAAAGATTTTCTTTAGGTTGGCGTGCTCACTGAAGAAGTGACCCTTCTCCACGACGACGCCTACGTGAACACAGACGATGTCACAAAGTAAATCCTGGAACAGTTTCCGCTTGGAATGTATTGTCCTTCCTTCACAGAGTCCAGACTTTGCCGTCTACCTCTTGGACCACTGAAGAAGCAGTTCAAAGGAAAAAAACTTTTAACGTGATGACGAGATTAAAGATGAGGTGCGCTGGAGGGTGAAAGCACTGAGCAGGTGGTAAATCGCTGGGACAAATGACTCAATCGCTCCGAATTCTGCAGAACAGGGTGGTCCAAACTTTTTCTTTTGTCTCGGACCAAGCACAATTTTCCCGTTGGACCCAATGACTAAGAAATCCCTCCTGGCACTATTCTTAAAACTACTGACCAGTTGCTATAATCAGAAATGACGCATTACCATAGCATATGCTCAAATATAAGTTTTATCTTTATGCGAACTAATTACTTACTATAGAGTTTTCATATTATTTTAATTTACTCCTGCAACAGCTTATGGTCCGCGGGCCACTAGCTGCAACACATGATGTAAAGAAATAAAGTGTCAGTCCGTTAATAATTGTTGTGTTGAACACGTATGTCGAAGTAATACCCTCGGATGTTATTTGTTGAACATCAAGACGAAATAAAATACTGGCAACTAAAACTTCGGTAATGCAAACATTTCTTTGTATGATACATAACAATTTTTTTTAGATTAGCTGATGAAACTTAAGGTTCATAACAGCCTAGACGTTTCCAATTCTGGAAAAACGCAAAACCGGAGTCAGAAGACAGAACGTAGTTTCCTGATACTTTAACGCAGGACCGTAGAAGTCTCTTGGTGATAATAAAAAGAACCTGCCAACTTCAGAGGAAACGCTGCATATTTTAAGTCTGCAAAAGGTTAAGTAGACCTTGCCACCCTAAAACACATTAACATTTTCGCAGGAACACGGAAAAAACAGCCGTATCATCCAGACAAGTAAGAAGTCGAAAGCTGGTGCGCACGAATGAGGCAAAGAGGACATAAGAATTATATTACACCTGGGCCCATCCGGTGGACAGACCACGCGGACCTCGATTTTGGGCACATAACGAGTCCAGAATTAAAGGTCACGCCAGGGGCGGCTCTAGTTCAGGCTGGTTAACGACGCATTTCAACTCACAAGTTCTGCTGTGTTGACCAACAAACCACGAAAGTAAAGACACAAGACCGAAATCAACATTCGACGAATGGCATAATGTAAATTCCGCTGTGCTTTGTTTCAACAGCGTTATACATTTATACAGCGTCAAAACAGACGTAATGGTGACAAGGAATATTATGCAGCAAATATTATTAAAGGAGACACTATCTTGATTCATTGGAAGACTGAGGAAAACAGCAATAAACCTAGGAACAGGTCGATCTTCTCCTCAGTATCTCCCAAGCACAATTCCTGAGCTCAACTGCAGAATTAAAAAATAAATAAAAATCCCAGGTGTGTGGAATTTCTGCAAGGTCTGATATTAGATTCTGTAGGACTCTATTTTGAAAATGTCGTCATTAAATTCCAAATATTGACTAAATACGGCTACAAGAAAACTTCAGTACCAGTTCACATCATACATCTCCAATCAAAGGCAGACATGAAACGAAAAGAGACCGATTTCTAACACAAACACAGTGTCCTATTATCTGATTCGATAACGAAAATATTAGTTTTCCGATCAATACAACTGCGGTTCTTTGCTGAAATCAAGTTCTGTGCTTCACTGGGATCTAGATTACTAAAATGCAACTGTCTGAACGGAGATATGAGATTTTCACGCCAACTACTGATTATATACGTAAAACACTGCGCATTTTTCAACCACTATCCATTTTATATATTTAATATAGCATTGGTCAAGTTAACAAGTTCTGCAGTAATATATTAAAGTACGTTAAGTCTACTGTACGAGAGAGAGTTAAGTAAGTCCCTATAACGTATAAGGCCTCGAATGTCGCTACTAACAGGGCGAAAAACATCGTGCTTGTCTTATTTTACATCACAAATGTTTAAATGACTCACGTGTACAGTTTGTACACTTGTAGGAAGTCCACACAGATACGTTCGTGATCAGATTTTGTCAAAAGTCTTACTGAAAAGAAATGCCCTTATTCCGGTTCATGTCGGTCACATATAAAACCAACTTTACACGAAGATCCACTTTTAACTTGATACATATTCTCAATAACGGCGTATCGCATGAATCATGAAAAGAGTTTCCATAGCATAAGACAGGATCTCAATAAGATCTATACATGTTATTTAATAAGACACAAAATAAGTTTTCTGTCTGGACCCAGACAGCTTTGTGACTGCAATAAAAAGGGAAATGGCCTTTGAAAGCTATCGAAGGACATAACGACATGGAAGCAAGAATATGGCAGCAGAGGTGTGTTTTGTTAACGAAAAAATATAAATATTAACTGATACTGATAATTAAAATAATTTTATTGAAAAGACACTTAAAGGTACCGTGAATCAACATAGATATTATTCATTCAAGATTTTTTAATATTATGGGTTACGCGAATAGTGATATAACACGCTCGGAAAGTGTGTTCCATACCGGAATACACATAATACTATCCCCATGCGTTCTTTGCAACGTGCATTTAGAAGTATTAAATCCGCCTTGTCCGATAGTTCCCAATTTGGCCAACAGATCGCAGCACCTCAATGTCTACTTCACTGCTTTCCTCAAACGTTATTTTGTTATCACTGCTCGTATGATACTCATAAGTGCGATTTTTATGCAGTGTAAAATAACACAACCTCGAAATCAAATTTCATACAAATCCGACAAGTGGTTCTCGGGTTGAATCGACTGGAATGACGTAGGACGGGACGGACAGACACATTAAGCCCATAATGCGTTCTCACTATGCAATTCGTGCAAAGAACGCCCTGATGACGGAGGCAGTATGACCTCTGAAACGTTGGTTAACATCGACCAGACTACACAGCGCAACAACCCAGAAGACAGGAATCTTCAAAACAGAATACTGTCGAAGTAAAGGAGTACCAACTTCAGAGATGTCTCTGAAGCAGAGATATTATTTGCGGTTCACTACTGCCACGAACTCTATTGAGAAACGATGGTACTGCGTGATAGAAAGCTACAGGCGGCAGAAGCAAGACGAGAAATCGATACACTAAAAATTGTAACGGCACATTAAATTTATTATTGGCTGCACTGCGTAGTACGAAGCATCCTACGCAGTCTGGTAATTCAGTCGATTATTAAAATGTCTGTATACACTCAAAGTTGTTGCTAGCAACACGACTGTTGCTCAAAGCGCAAGAAATTTCCCGTCTTTAAGAAATCGTAAGGTAGAACAGGATCCACCGATCATGGCCG